CTCTCTATACTCCTCTCTCTTTTTCTCCAGCTCTCTCTCTCACTACCTGTGTGTATGTACCTCTCCCTCTTTGCTTACGATATATATGATATAGTTTTGAAAAAGAAACTTATATGGACTATATTTTATTGTTTGCGGTGGGAATAAATACTGTGTTCACTTTCATTTCCTTTTTAGCAAAATGAGTGTTTGGGAGTGTCTCTATTCAACCTCCTCTTTCTCTACATCTCTTTTTCTTTTCACTTCTCCATTTGTTCGCTTTAATTCTTACTGCGTTACATGTGTAGGGAATCTTAACCTTCATTTGATATGTTTGTCACTTATTCAGTTACGTTTTCAGGATGTTTATTTTTCATTCTCTTATGTCACCATGCAAGAATTAAAATCATTTTAAACTCAAGGTCAAAAACAACCAACGTCAACAGATAAAAGCATGATAGAGAGAGAGAGACAGAGACAGACAGACAGACAGACAGACGGACAGACAGACAGAGACAGACAGAGACAGGGACAGAGAGATAGATTGAATATGACTGTCATTAAATGATGTACGTATATTCTATATCATTGTTTATTTGATTACTTTTATTGCTAAAGTAATAACAGATATATAGTCTAAAACCATTACATAATTCCTTATCATTATATAATCATCCTTGTTACTTTTGTCTTATCAGAATCATCATTATTATGAAATTTGTGATTTCCTTATCGGTATCATTATCATAATCATTGCCATATATCTAATCATTCGTTATAGTAATCTTGTCATTTGCTTATCGCCATAACAGTCATTGTCATTAATAAAACACACGGGGGCAAAATAACCTAATCCGATAGAGCCTGCTTCCAGTATCATCCTTATACAAACTTACGCGAAGGAATAGATTAACAGAGGAAAATAGGTGAATAAACAAAGAAATAAACAAACTTGTATATTTATAAACAACGACAACAATAATCGTTCTATGGCTAATTATTACTTTTACGTTCTTTCCAAGTCTTTGTGGTGTAACGGTAACGCAGCCTCTAAAGCGGGAACACCGGGTTCGAGTCCCGGCGGAGTCAATATCTGAGTTTTTTTTTTTTCCTTTAGTTATTTGTAATAGCCATCCTTATTGAGATAACGATGACAAAGAGTAATAATAATGATGCGAATAATAATAAAACAAAAGCAAGAACAGGAATAGTAATAATATAATGATGATCAGGCAACGACAGTAGCAGTGAAGATTATGGTTCAAAGAATAATTACAGTAGAGATGGCAATAACGAAGGTGACAATTATAAGTGAATTTACAATAACATGATATAAAAAAGATAAATGTAAAATATAATATTTGTTTCCCTTCATGATAATGATTATAATAACTAAAAATGGGTAAAAACAATACTAGCTCTACGCAATGAATATGATACTAATCCAGATAATGATGATTATGAGATAAGAGAGAGATAGATTAAGAAGAGAAGAAAATAGAAGAGAAGAGAGAGAGAACCAGGAAGAGAGAGATTATTATCAATCATGCCTTCTTATCTGAAACAAATTCATTATCATTGTTTAAACATTCTTGTCGTTGGTGGCATTTGTTCATTGTTGTTACTTTTATTATAATTTTTAGAATATGTCATTATTGCAGTTAACATTACCATTATCTATATCATTGTTATTTTATTATTATTATTTTACTATCACGGTCATTATCAATATCATCATTATCATTATTATTACTATTGATGCTGTTGTGATTAATAATAATGATAATTATCATCATTATCACAATTATTCTGCTAAGTCGTCTTTTGAACTAACTAATGTGTAGCATATGAGATGTAGGCTTAGAAATAACGGCAATTTCTTGACTTTTACACGAGCAGATTTCTCAATAACTTGCTGTTTACAGTAATTACGATTATTAATGCGTACATGTGCGTTTCTTTCGTAAATGATTTCAGTCTTGCTCAAGGTGAATATAATTGTTTGTATATATGGACTTCACGAATATACAGGCTGTAATGTATCTTATTGGCAATAAGAACATCCATAATGATGTAGGACTATTTAAGTGTTAATGATTCTTGTGTAGTCAATTGACAAGCGACTTCCCTTGCAGTTGCTGTAATAATGTAGACTAGATTAAATTATTACCATGAGATACATTTTGGTTATTACATATATATATATATATATATATTATATATATATATATATATATATATATATATACATATATATTATACAAAAAAGTCGTTATATGTCTACCTCTTTCAAACTCTCCACCTTTCTCTTTATATAAATATCCGTGTATTTCATTTCTTGTTTCGTTTATCTGTTTCCTTCCTCTCTGCCTGACGCCTCTTTCTCTCCTCTTGCTCTTCGCTCTCTCTCTCTCTTCTTCTCCAGTTCTCTCTCTTTCTACCCGTGTGTATGTACCTCTCCCTCTTTGCTGACGATAAATATGATATAGTGTTGAAGAAGAAACTTATATGGACTAGATTTTATTGTTTCCGATGGGAATAGATACTGTTTATTCTTATTTCAATATCATTGTCTTTTTCAGCAAAATAAATTTGTGTTTGGGACTGTTTCTTTCTCCTTTTTCTCTACATTTCTTTTTCTTTCCAATTTTCTACCCCCCCCCCCCTTCTCTCTCTCTCTGGCTCTTTCACTCTCTCCCCATTTTTTACTGATGTTATAACCATAGTTAAAATCTACTTGCTTTACTTCTTGAAATTGTTTCATTTTATTTGTTTTTACTCTTGTTTGAGAGAAAAGAAGTGTGACTAAAATAAAACTATAAACTGTAGCATTATTTTAACGTGATGATGAAACGCAAAAGTGATGACAATACGAATAACACTCCTGATAAGTAGGAATTCATTAATAATAGTAGTAATAACAGTAATAAAAATAATATTTATAATAATGATAATATAAAAGATTATGATGATAATGAAAGTGATGATGATAATGTAAATAACGATAGTAGTGATGATTGTAATGATGAAATAAATTATATTGTTAATGGCACTTGGGACACTAAAAATGAAGGTAATGGTAATAATAATGATGATAATCACGATGGTGTAACAATAATGAAACGGTAACGATGATAATGACAGCAATCACCTTAATTACCTCAGTTATGAAAATACAGATGATATTAGCATTTGTTGTGTAGCTCTGAAAATGATTATAATATTAGTCACAACTAAGATAATCGTAAAAGTACAAGAATTACAATACATCGACATAAATAACAAGGAAGAAGAAAAGAGGGAGAAGCGGAAATGGGAAAAAGATTAATGATCCTCCTAACCCTTTACCTCACTGATGATTTTCAACCTTACTGCTATTTCTATCATTACTATTATTGTTATCAACACCATCAACAACAGCAGCAGCTGCACCAGCAACATTATATATGTTATTACCATTAATCTTGTATCAAAATTGCAATTTCAATAAGCACAATGCATTTAATGTTTTTTGTGTTCTGACATTAGCTACTTATAAGAAACGCGATATTCGTCTTTACCTTAAGCACACTCAAGGGTAATTCCTGTGAAGGAGGCTTTCCACTGGCATCCCTTCGTCGCTCTCTTTTGTTTTGACGGGAAAGGAATCGACATCTGAAAGGAACCAGACGCATGAAGGTTTGGTCTTTGCTAAGTGTTTAGAAGTAAAATTTGTTTATTAGTGTTGTACCTCGATTCATCAAAAAGTTCGTCTATCTGAGACCAAGGTGTAAAAGGATTGTATTTTTGTGCTGCATTCTTTATATTCATAGATGATCTAATTGTATTTTCTTTGAGGATATTAAATTTTGAATAATGATGATTTCAGTTTGAATTGGATTGTGTTGGACTTCTTTAAACGTGGCGACGAGCACGCGACCTGGAACCTCTGCCCGCCACTTGCGCCGAGGAACGGGAGCCCTTTTCGCTTTCTGGCTGCTGTTCAGTTTGATTCCTTAGTTCCACTTGGGATGTGGCAGTTTACATACATAATTAAATGTATTATAGAATAAATATAAGAGGATGTGTTGCATTATTATGACTATTTTTGCTCTGTATTATGATCGTCTTTATTTGCATGTTCATAAATTTCAAACATCTAATTCATTCTTTTCTTGTATATGATATTTTTGGATGTTTTAAGATTTATTGAAAATATAACTTAAATACATGAATGACAATTTGCGTTTCGAAATACCGTAACTAAGAAGAGGCATTTCCTTCTGTTGACTCGCGTCATGGCTCCGCGATTTGCATGTTCAAAGTCCTCATTTCCCTTTTAGACAAATGGCGGCTATAGAAATGTGGTCTTTCAAAGCGAAATTATTTTTTTGCGTTTTATTCATGCTTCTGTTGGTGTTTCATGTAGGGTCTCGCCTGAATTTCAAATACTTATCCAATCTCTGCCGTTTTAGTTGCTCTGTTCATTACCACAAACGTTTTTGTTGCTGCGATCCCATCATTATCTTTATCATCACTATCACTTCTGGAGAGAAAGAAACGAGTCCTTGAAGAATCTGCAAAGAGCCGAGGAGAAAATCGTAAGAGCATGGAGATGAAGGATTGTTTTCTTCTTTTTCTTTTCTTTTCTTCTTTTTAAAAAATATTAATTGTGCATTACCCTGTGGAAATGGAACTTCACTTCGTTCATCCAGTCCACCGCGCCTTCCTCAGAATCAAGATTTTAAATTCCTATTCCCTGGCGTGCTGGTAAATAATTTGCAAGTCATCGTGTTGCACTGCAAGCGATCGCTGTTCCACGGAGCCCGATTTGGCGCTGTTGATCCTGCTTCCGTTTCATTTCGATTTTATATATTTATTCTTGTTCTGGAACTCGCATTACATGTTGGAGACCTGAAAAGCAAAAAATAATATATATGAAAATACTCCACCGGGAATCGAACCTGGGTCTACACACCACGTGCGCGCGCGCCGGCCCGATGATTTAGTTAAATTAATCAGTGGCCTCTCTCACTATTGATGTCGCGGTAGCCGAGTGGTGACGGCACTTGCCTCCCATGTAGAAGGTCCCGGGTTCAATCCCCGTCCGCGGCAGTAATAAAATACATAGTCACGCCAAGTACTTGTACACACACCGAACATAACACTTACACTTCAACACATAAGACATCACACACACATGTCTGCGCTCCTCTCTGGTGAAACTGGTATCTACCAGATGATCCTGTAAGCTGCCTTTGGTGGACGCACGCACAGCCGATGCTGGCAGGGCATGTATACACTTTTCTTGCAATACGCTTGATATAACAAAACATGTAAATGTATATGTGTGGGGGTACTTATATGTATGTATGTACATTTACATTACATATATATATAAACATACACACATGTATGAATATACTGTTTATATATACAAGTGTATACATATTTATATAAACACACGTATTTGTGTATATATATATACATCATACAGATTACAACAGATGTATGTGTATGGTTGTGTGACTATATTCAGTGTGTGTAGTGTACTTTCTCTTCATAAGCGCCAGGCACAAAGAACATCATAAGTAACAGCATCGTAAGAATCATCATTATTATTGCTGTTATATATTGATCTCTTTAATATTTTGTAATAGTATTATTGTGATTATTTTTAATCTTAACTATAACTGTCTAGTATTAAAAGCGTGCTCGATGCATTATATACATTACACTAGACAGAATAATACCAGCAAGCTAACAAGTGTTCACAATTAATAAGTTCAAATTAAACAAAGATATATAAATAGACATAATCATATAAAATATAACATCACCAGATTGTAAAAGTGAGATTAAGGTGATAGAGTAAACTAACGCGAAAGCCTAAGGAAAAATATCATCGCTCAGTCTATATCATCCGAGTACGAACTTAAAATCAAGCCACATGATAATGGATGATGAATATATTATATAGTTGGAAACATAGGACTAATTAACATAGTCTTGTAATGATTAATAATAATGAGTTTACCAATTATATATTGTAAGTGTTACTATCCTATAAACACAAATCTATAGCAATGAAAATAGTATAATCGTAACTGGCAAACTCAGCAAATCAATCAACATACCATATAAGCTGAAACTACGTATCAGTTAGATTACCAAAAAATATATATCTTTATATTAGAGACTAACATGAATATCGTTGCTGTAAAATACCGGGGCTGAGGATAATGAAACATATGATTTCCAGTGTGAATTGTATAATAAATGCAAACAAATGTAATACATCATAGAGTCAAATAATAAATGATAAATCTACATATACCTATCTTCTTTAAATATATATTAAGTTTATTCGCCCGAGTCCTAACGTGATGAACCTAATCAGATCTGATCCCTACGTGACACACAGGCTGAAATTACAACAAATATCTCTATCTAACACCGAATTATTCAAATATCCCCCTTCAAAATTCCTATCTCTGCGTCTCTCAATATGCTAATTCTATTTTATTAATTTGCTTAATCTACATTGATATATCCTTATATCCCGAATCATTCCGAGGTCATCATTATCTATGGCAAGCCTCCGTTCACTGAAACTAAACCTATGCAGCTGTATTAATCGAGAGATAGAATGAAATTGAACTATATATTCTATCTACGAAATGAAGTTAATGATATGTGATGATATTTGTACAGAGAAGATAGGATGATCGGACCAAACGAGGATACGATTAATGAGAGAAGAGAGATGAATAATATTACGAGAATTGACAATATTAGTAGATCATCATGCAATTAAATAGAATAATGAGAGTTCTGTTTATTTTGACCATTTGCTTCTCATTTGAGAATAAGAAGAGCATCTGTCAGATAGAGATCGAGTGAGTAGTGACGATAGAAACGATATCCTGTTTTTATGTCTTTACAATTATATTTATATTTTAACCCACTTAATATATACAGCCTATATATCACTTCAATTTTGCTCTGTCTGGGTCCCTTCAACTCCGAGTCCTCCTTTATTCCACTCTCGCGTAAAAGGCTTACACCTACAGTCTTTACGTCTATCTATTGTCTAGACTAAATTTTAGATATTCTTATTTATATAGAGATCTAGTCACTATCAGGCAAATTACATTACTATCATTATCTCCTCATTGTTCCTAATGAGCGTGCGTTGTTATGTTGTCGTTCTGTTTTGCTGCTCCCAATGAGTATACGATCTTTTATCCACATTGATCTTATCATTACTTTCGTTTATTAGTGGATGGTATATCGTACTACTCTCTTAGCTCATTTTACTCTCTCGTAAACTCGCCNCCTATCACGCATAGCAGATAGAAACAATTGAATAAGATAGAATATATTGATAATAGATAGAAAGAGATTACTTTTCAAATTAGATAGAAAAAAATGTGTTGCAACGCCGCAAGAGAGAATCGAAAAACGCGTGATGAATAGATGGATTAGCAAAGTTAGCCAAAGATATAGGAAAAACGCAAAAGAGCGAGTATACACGGATAGTACATTCCTACTTCCCATCATAACTTCGCCTACTCTATCACTCCGTAATAACAGTTCGGGTTACGTCTTCGCGCTGCTTATCAGTGGTCTCCTCTCTCTGTACGTTCGCTTATTCCAACTATTAGCATTATATCGATTACATTCAAGATCAAGTAAATAATCGCTTGTCTGGGCATAAGTACATTACTGTGACTCTTCAATTCGCTAGCATCTCGAGGTATGCACAGTATTAGCGATGATCTGAGTTGTGGAGAAGCATCACCCTTTTTCCATTTACCCTGAAAATAAGCTATCTTTAATTCCTATTTCACATAACTCGGATAGACAGGTTCATGATAGAGATGATAGACTATAATAAAACAGTTGCTACCTTCCTGGCTGGCATTGTGTTAAATTTTTAACTTTTATAAAAATCTGTCTCTTCCTCGCTCTCGATCTATCTATCTCTGTCTGTCCATCCATCCATCTATATATCTATCTATTACCAGCGAATAATGAATAAAAAAGAGGTTTTAAGGAAACAGATCACCAATATGTCGATGGAAATCAAGATTGGCTTTAGTACATTTATATTACAACCTTGTATCAAACACTTATTTTAGCATATTGTTCTCTTTTTGGTCAGCCTTTGCATAAGTGGCGGACTGCAAATGGCGCAATGCGAATTTCTCATTGTCGTGTTAATTGGTTACGCGAAACATTTCTTCTCGATCGCCGAAGCCAAGGAACGAGGCGAGGATTCGGAAAGGCGTTTCATCTTCCTGCGAGAACAGCTGTTCTTCCAATTTTACGTTGAAATTCTCCTCCCTTCCTTTTTTCCTTTTCGTAATTCCCATGCTTTTTTTGAATACCAGGGATTCACTTTATTTCCATTCTCTCTTTCTGTCTTCCTCGATCCCTGTCTTCTTGTCTCTCTTTGTTTATCCTTTCACTATTCTTCTGTCTGTCTCTGTCTCTATATTTGGCACTCTGTGTTTGTATCTGCTCCTCCCTCTCCACGCTCCTCTCTCTCCCTCTCTTCTCGCTGTCTGTCCCCCGCTCCTCCTCCATCTGTCTGACTAATATATTACGTAAATGGTGGACAATTTGATAATAATAATGACTGAATGAATCACTAATGATAATGATATACGATAATGTCGTGATTACAGACCTGATAATGGAAGAATAATGATTAACTAATTAAAATAATAATAATAATCTATCAAGAATAATAAAGTGATGATTAATATCTCATCAATGAAAATTATAATAATAGTGATGATTAGTAATGACAATTATAATAAATATCATAAGGTATCGATAATTGTGATAATAATCAATGATAACGATATGATCAATTGTTTGTCTATTGATGATGTGTGTGTATTAAATAAGTAATAGTTATTCCAATGATGATAATAATGTATAAATAATACATTCATGATAATAATATTGGACGATTACATTTTCATTTCCTAGACTTCTCTATAGCTATATGATATTCTCCTCATGAGATTTTTCGCATGTTCCAGCATTAATCAGCTGTTTGTGAACAATTGGAAATATATGATCCATTTCCCATGAAAAGCATGCTGTGTGTAAAACGGTTAGCACGGCGGTCTCTAAAACCGGATGACCCGGTGTTCGATTCCCGGCGAAGAACTACTCTTTTTCCTTGACATACTAGATTCCAAAAGGAAAACAAAAGAAAAAAACTTTTAATCCTTTTAATGTAAATTTCCACAAAAATAATTATATTAAAATCTATTTGAAACAGAAAGCAAATGATTCAGCCGTGGAAATAGGCGATTCCTTTGCAACAACGAAGACCTGCAAAGTAGTTTTCACCTCGCACTTCTAATAGTTTGTAAGAGAGAGAGAGGAAGAAGAGAGAGAAAAAGGGAAACAAAAAAAACTAGTACTCTCTAGCTTTTACCAAATTTGTTTCTTGTTTTCCCAATTATTTGTCTTTTACTGATTGAAAGAATCGTACCTAGGAGTACTACGTTCTACTTACGGCCCCGGTTGCAGTTCCGTTTTCCCTGCTTTGTATTCATTGGTGACGTTGGTTTGGTTGTTCTTATGTTGAGTGCAACTCATAGATCAAATAACACTGCTCTCTAATTCCTTTTGCCGAATTAACAATTCCTTCATTCTGCATTGTTTTCGGCCTTTCCACTGAAATAGCTTTATTTTGCGATAAATATTTTGCAAGGATTATTGTCTGAGACGGCGGTCGAGAACAGCCATTATGGCTGTGCGTTAGAAGCACTCAGAAGGGCGGCATACCTCCGCCAAGGCAATAGGGTCCACTGATTGCAATATTTAAAATAAATTACACTTATAAAGAATGACACTAATATCACTTTCTCCTTTCTCTAACGGACCACAGGTGACGCCGTAAACATGGCCTCGGCGGAGGCAAGCCCAGGTATAATAAATAGATGGATAATAGATAGAATAGAATACACATATGAAGAGATAAAAGATAGATGATAGATAATAGAAAGATAATAGATATATATACACGATAGATAAACCGACTGATAGATAGCTAAAATGGTAGATGAATGAATAGATATATGGATAGA